GGCAAAATCCGTATCGCATGCTGTATCACCACTCGACCGGGACCTTCGGCCCTCGGGACTGATATTGGTTTTTCGTGGTGATACAGCATGCAATACGGATTTTGTCATGTATTATTCTATATATATATTTTAAAATGTAGTCTTCTATAACTTCCGTATTTCTTCTGGGGTTTTATTTCTTATTTAGTGAATGAGTAAAAAAAACATATGAAGACAGATTCACGTTGAAGAAAAAGGTTCAACCATATTGAATATTTCAAATATATCACTGTAAAATATAATGAATGAGCACAAATGAAGATATCACAAGCGTGCAATCAATTTAAATTATTTTGTCGTTCACCTAAATTTATCTCGACTCAGTGGTTGTCCCAAACGGTACCACCTGCATATCCCCCCTTTTCTCTGTTTTTTTTTCTGCAAGGTCATATCGCTTTTTCCCCCGTTTATTTACGTATTGATGTCCCTTGTGTGTTTTTTTCATGTTATTGAAAAATTATTTTGTCGTTCGATTTCCATTTGCAAATAACGCTTTCTTTTTTCTTTCAGACCAAAGCATTGTAGGTGTATATATCTTTGTTTCTGGTTGATTAACGTCCAGTGGCAAATATTTCATGCATGTTCAGGCCGATCTCTGTTTCTTCGCTGAATGTATAATGAATGCATTCAACCAATTTAACCTCTGAGATCTAAACTAAAGTGAAGTGTCTGAAACTGTTTGGAAAGTACATTGGAAAGAAACATAAGTAATTCGTATTTTGATGTTATATATAATAAAAATATGTTTATTTATCCACCCTTTTTCAATCAATTCAATGCAGGAAAGGTTAAAGTGCAAGTGGTTATTTTCCCTGATATCACAAGTCAAAAATGAAAACCCAAAAAAATCAATGAAAGGAGTTTTAACATCCCAAAAATTAAGAAGAAAATAAATAAAATTAGCTGGATGTGCATTGATTGATATTTTAGTCTTAGGTACATGTTTTTTTCTTTCTTACTGTGAGTACTGTAAGATATATGCGTTGTGTTTTTTGTTTTGTGTTGTGATGTGATGGATGTATAGGTACTCTGCGTTTTGGTTAGATGTTTTTCTGCTTTGTATCGATCTGATGAGTTTAGCCCTTTTCAACTGATATGTATAGTTTTTTTTATGATGTTCTGTTACACCACTCTCCTAGGTTAGGGGGTAGGTTTGTGCCTTTAACATGTTTAACCTTGTCACATTCCATATGTGCCCGTCTATGTCAGGATCTTGTGATTGATTGGATGTCGTTTTTTGTTGTTTCTAATATTTGTTTTTCGTTTATTGTTTTTCACATCGGACTAGTTTGCCCATTTGGAGTTTTTGTGTAAATGACTTTTCTGAATTTATTCAAACATATCTAAGACTCTGGTAGCGATTGATATTTAAGAGCATGGTACATTCTATATTTTTCAATTATAAAAATAAGCATAATGAGGACACTCAGTAATCTCGTCATGCATTTTCGTTATTTTGTGTTGTTAGGTTTCTTTTTCACTGTCGTATACTTGTGTGACAATTATTTGTGTACACACTTTTATATTCAAACATCCAAAGAAATCATACAAAAACTTGAAACATGACATTTTAGAAATTCCATGAAATTAGATTTTGATATATAAACATCCATGTTCTATTGACAAATTTTTTCTTGATACTTGTATTCCCATATTAATAACAAGAATAATTTCAACAATGTTCGTCGATCATAACAATGTAAGCGTAATATAATGTCCGATATAAAATGTTAATGGTTAGCCATTATTCATATTGCGGTACACCGACCATTGTATTATTAATCGTCTATAAAGGTCTATTTGTGACAATCTCTTTTTTAGTTGTGGGGATATATAGATACCCTGCCACGTCCGGTCTGTGTTTTGTTAGATGTTTTTTTTTTTTTTTCTCTTTTTTTTTTTTGTGTAGCGATCTAATGACTTATGCCCTTTTCAACTAAATTTTATAGTTTGTTCTTTTTGTTAGATGTTTTTTTTTTTTTTTTTCTCTTTTTTTTTTTGTGTAGCGATCTAATGACTTATGCCCTTTTCAACTAAATTTTATAGTTTGTTCTTATTTGGTACTGTTTCACCACAGTCACTGGTAAGGGGGAATGTTTGGCGCCTGAAAACTAGTTTAACCCCGCCACATTCTGTATGTGCCTGTTCCAAGTCAGGAGCCTGTAATTCAGTGGTTGTCGTTTGTTGCTGTATATCATAATTGATTTTAATCATTGTTTTGTACATGAATCAGGCCGTTTTCCTTCCTGTTTGAATTGTTGGGCATTTGTCATTTCGGGGCCTTTTATAGCTGACTATACGGTATGGGTTTTACTCATTACTGAAAGCCGAACGGTGATCTATAGTTGTTAAATTCTTGGTCATTTGGTATCCTGTGGGGAGTTTGTAATTACTAGAAACATTATTCTGACTTAAGAAGTGATTATATTTAGATTAACGTCCAGTGGCAAATATTTGTTAGCATATATACAGTAAAATATGATGCGATTTAATTTCAACTATCAGAGTTGCTCGTTAGGTTATGAATATTCAAATTTATTCATTTTGCTGAAGGACATTCTTGATTTGAGCGAAAATGTTTTGAATTACTTCTCTATTAAAAAGTAACGGAAGAACGATGAATCACAACGACAACTTTTTTTACGATAAAAACAAATATTCCGACTGATGCATTTGTTCTTCAACTGTTTTCTCACTTATCATGCTTATAGAACGCACACACTTTTGTAACATAGTTGGAACACATACAAGATCAGTGATGTTTCATCATGTCTGTTTAGTGTTTTAATGATTGTTCAAAGCAGTTTTAAATGAATAATCATAATAATGATTTCGTAAATAAAATCTTAGAGACCTGATCAGACATAGTTTCAATTCATAACATTCATATGAACATTATAACTATATATATACCGTGTTCATTTTACTTTTTTTTTATCATTCCACAGGATCCCTCCTTTTCATTTATTAGTCAAACAAATGAACACTTTCATAACGATAAAAATATTAACTAATTCCCCTTCAAATAAACTTCACAGGCATAGTGAGACGTAATAATTTAAACAACTGTGATGTTATAACTGTAGGTTGGTCGGAGAAACTTATCAATCGGAATGATATTATACAGAAGTGTGTCTGCTTAATCTGATTAGATTATTATGTAGATTGTGAAGAATGCGTACGTTCAGAAGATAATTATTCGTTAACAAATACGCTGCTTTTTTGTATGTGTCTAATTTCTAAATTCTAACGTTACATTATGACCATAAATTTGACAACTGCATATTTTTAGGACATCATTTGATCATAGGTAGGGCTCAGTTTGAAAAAAAAAAACATAATGCTATTAAAATCTGGAATTTATCGATAAATCAAAGCTATATTTTAGGATTCTTACATGTACCAGGAAAATTTCTGTATTCGACAACTTTATTTGTTTATTAGACTCACTTGATCGAAAGGTGTTTTGATCCTCCTCAAAATATGTGGATTCGTCTTAGAGTTCAAGCTTAATATATATTTTAAATTCAAATGAGTATACATGAATGACATATCTTAAATATTTATTTTTGGAATATGTATTGTTGGGTTGCTGTATTGTTTACGTTTAATTTGTGTCCTGTTTTACTCATATTTAATGTAGAATATAGACACACCTATGGATTTGTTTTAAATCTATAGGGAATGTAATTTTTACAAGTTTTATTCATTCATATTCATTATACTTATGTTTGATTGGTATTTTTGTTGTCTGACTTGTGTGACTGTTTAACTTATTTTTTGACATTTATCTTTTTTTATTGGAGTTTTAATTTCAACATTATCGAATAATTAACTATTATGGGTTTACTTAATTCCCGTCTCTGTAGACGTTTATTTATATTGGTTTATGAAAATAATGTTTAAAAGAGTTAAAGCCAATAGAAATTTAATATATTATCGAACATCCTGTATATTTCATTCAAATACGTGTCATCTATTGTTTTTCTTTCTATCATTTAACATTCGAAAGAAATATAAGTAAACCTAACAAACAATGTTTATACCGATTTAGTGGCGTATGGTACGTTTCCCACAGACGCATTACTAAGTAATTACACAGAAAAACTATATTCGGCACAATATGTACGAAACCTTGGGGTTAAAAAAAAAAGTACCGATATTTAATAGAAAATTCATAATAGAAAAGGTATGACACGGACGACAATAATATCCCTTACTTCTTAAAATAAAAAATCTGGAACCAATATGATATACTGGATTTTCCTTTCATTGTATGTTGGTACGGTTTTGTAAAATATTCATAAATAAAAAAAGGGAAAATAATGAGACAAAAATCCACTTTAACCAAATGACGTAGAAGTTAGCAACTATAGTATTTAATGCCTTTAACGATGAGTCTTTTTAACAAAATGTTATGTTTTACCCATAAAAAAAGAGAAAAGGCAATGCCATTTATGATTTAACTTGCAATCGTTTTTGTCGTTATTTTGTTGTTATCAGAGTGTTTTTTAATCCAAACTTCTGTATGTAATTGAAACAGACCCTTCTTTAAAACGTCAATTTCTTACAATATATTCTTTTGTGTTGTTTCAATTGTAGAAGTTGACTTTTGTGTTTAAACTAATCAAATTAAAAGGAGATTTGCTTTTGCGCTGCATATATCTTGATAGCGGTAATGTAGATAAGTAATTGTGCACTTCAATGCCGTATCTACCAATTTAATAAATTGTTGAATCTAATTGTAATCCAATCTACAGTATCTAAATAAACAAATTAAACCATACCGTAAAGAATATAAACAAATAACCGATCTAAAAGTAAAAAATAAGATATAATCAAGGTTCTACACGCGACGAATAAAGAAAATATCTGCACTTACAAAATTGATGACAAAATATGCTTTTAGCTGTTAGATTCATTTGTCATTTGTTATTATTTTAATAAAAAATCAAATGGTATGTATTATAAAAACATTTTATTTATTATTTTGTCTATGTTTTGATATTTTTTTTTTTTTTTGCTTCAACATGACAACCGACATAAGGTTAGAATAACATCAAACCAAGTTTAATTTTAAAGTATATTCATTTCTAAACATCTTTAACTAGATGATTCAAGATTTATAAAAGGAGATTAAAGTACACAGTTTTAAATCATATGCAAAGCAATATAGACATATAAAAGTACACATCATTAACATAAGATTAAAATCGAATTATCAAAGAACTTTAACCGCTAATGACCCATTAAGTCGACATGAATTACTTCCCATTGTCAAATAATCATAAAAAATCATTGATCGGCGTGGCAGGAGGATTTATCGCCGTGTCGGAGAAAATCTGACAGTTGTTCCTTATACCCTGGTATAAACTCCACACAGAAAAAAAAATTTGGTTTCCAAGAGACCTCTCAAAATTAGTCAAGAGGCCCAAAAAACGGCCAAAAAATTAATTAAAATTCAAAAATTCTTCTTATATTATGTATTTCTATAATTTAATGAATTACGAAATCCCATAGTATAGAACTGAAATCATTCGAATAACTAATATTATTACATTTCCTAATAATGTGTTAAATTAGGATATTTCATAAAATTATGCAATTTCCTATTTGCCTCGACTGTGAATGCTAAATCGATTCACAAGTTTTTTTAAGACTGGGGACACATTGATGGAAATATTGTTGACGAAACTATTTATTCTTGAAGATCGTCAATTAGTATCCTATTATATTAATCCTTTGTTTCGTATTGTTTCCGTTTGTTTCGTTTCGTTTGGTTGTTTTAAGTTGCAATAAATATATCCACATTTCATTTTTTTTCCCCAGATGAAACCTTTGGGATTATAAATTAAACCCAGTTCCTCCGACTAGATAACATGACCCGGTCCCAATTCGGAATTGGCGTAAATAGTTTAACCCTAGTTAGGATAGTGCCCCACTTCTACCAGGAAAAAGATCCCTCCATCAATATAGTTAGGAGTACGGTCATCTGAAATTGCTAAAGGTAAATTTCTGATCCTTCCAAATCCTCTATATATGCTTTTATGTCCCATCCCTCTTTTTCTTATTCATTTTCATTTCATATTTATAATATATCATCTAATGTGACCATGGCTATTGTCTCAATGAAGCAATTTTGAGCTTAATGTCGTAAAACGTAAACAATTAATAGATATAAATATATAATTTATATATAAATATACATCGTTTTATTCATATGCATCTGTATAAACGTTAAGACATTGCCGTATATTGGTCGAAACGAAACAAAGCAGGAACAACAAATCCGTATTTTTATTTTTAATCTGGAAGTTAACTTTGATTTTGTTTTAAATCAATCTATTTACAAACCAAACAATTTGGCAAATAAAATTAATCCTTCCAAAATATCAGACAAAAATCCGCCTCTTTCGTTTTCTACATTATTTCTTTGATTTGTTCTTAACGCATTTTCGGTCATTTTTGGTTTGAATTCATCTTCAGTTTTCTTTATTTGCTCCAGTAATTCTTTGTCTTTTTTCTCCAACTCCTGATTCAGTTTTTTATTTGCTTCGTCAAGTTGTTTCTGTAGATTTACTTTGTCTTTCTCAGATTTTACTCTATTGGAATTTAGGAGGTCTTCTAATTTACTTTTCGCCTTAAATTCTTTTTCAAGTTTTTTCTTGTATTTATCTTGAACTTCATTTCTTGCCGCTTCTTTTTCTTTTTCCATTTTCATTTCCAATGCTTCCCTTTCAATACGCATCCTCCCTTGTAGTGCCAATTCTGCTTCCTTGTATAACTCGTTTGTATAACAAGCTCCACCATTTTTAATGCGCATCGACTCTACCATTTCAAAAAAGCCATCAACTTGCTCTAATTTTGACTGTCCTACCGCGTCATTGTTAAACGCAATGAATCTGTTTTCACACTTACCAAGTATAGTTTTGAGATCATTCTGAGACGTTTCAACGTATTGGTCAATTGATCGGTTGTATTTGGAAAGTTCATCCTTTCTAGTGAAAATTACAATCATATGGCGAAAAACATTTTCACCAAAAAGGTTAACAAAATGTTTGACCGTTTCTTGTTCATCATTTGTAAATCGACCGAGACTAACAACAAGGACCATAACGTGAGGTCCCGGTGACGTCATTCCGATACATTTAATTATCTCTTTAGTAACGGTTTCATTCGTCGTTGCCGTATCGAATAAACCCGGTGTATCAACTATCACTACTTTTTTCCCTTTCCATTTATATTCTCCGCGTTTACACTTTTTCGTTACTGAAGAACTAGACATTTGGGATAGAAAATGGTCGCTACCTAAAAGACTATTTCCTGTTGCACTTTTCCCGTGTCCTGTTCGTCCAATTAGTACTATTCGAATTTCATTATCTTCTGCGCTGACTGGCGAGTCTACAAAAAGATGAAATATTATCTTTTTAGCATACTGCATTACATTTTCATATAGCATTTTTACAAAATATATATCTTATTTCAGGAAAGTCTTTTTAAGAGGGGGCAGAGGAGTCTGGAACAAATATGACCTGTGGAAGAGGACAAAATCCGTATAAATAACTGTTGTACGGAGTTTTATTTATACCGTCATTTTTTATATAAACAAGTAAAGCATATAAAGGTCATAAATGGTTTCTTTCCCGTTCAGAATTGTTTAAATAAAAAAAATACAATACATTTCACTTTAAAATGAATAAGAAGCAAAGTGGGCGTGTTATTAATATTCGTGTATCCTTGATACGCAAATCTGCCTAGTTGATACTGTCTGTTTTTCAAAACAACTCAATTTGTTTTCTACAAATTAGTATGTTGATAAGCACAAGACTCATATCATGACATACACAAACAGAATAAATTAAATCTCTAGCCTCATATTAGTATCATTATATTTTTGTGAGCAGATACATAAATATTTTGCAAATCGGACGAATTATAAAATGGCAGCCTCCGTCAAGAGGAACAGGGTAATGCTCAAGTGAACTGTTGCGAAAAAAATGTCAAAGATTTTTAGTTCAGTAGTATATTGATTTTTGTTACTGTTTTCTTACTTTTATATAGACTTGCGTTTACTAACCAATACAGCTATGTTAACCCATGTGTAGACAGAGTTTTCAGTTGGTGACCATTTTTGTTAGAATACAGTATTTATGTATCTGCTATAGCTTTCGCCATTAATGCACAAATAGGTAAAACATTCATAAAGGGCAATAACTACTAATAATAGTGAACAACATGTTTGTGAATGTTGATAAAGTTCGCCAATCTAGTTTTTACTGATCAGTTCTGCTGTTTATAATTTCCCTATTTACTATAGTTTTCAAGACAATACACATAAACAAAACAAGGGTAAATAAATATCTTCGTCTGTAAAAGGCCCTTACTCTTGTAAGTAGTTGACTGTCGATTGCAGACATCGTATTTGAAGATATTCTAGATCATTTTCTATGTCCAATTGTCGTATATTATTTATGACAGTTTTCAAGATCATAAGCACCAATCAAAATAAAATGGTAACAATCATCAATGAAGGAAAATAACTCTCCTTATACAATCTTTATTTGAGGGCTATCGGTAGATCTTGACATCAAGAATGATCCTACCTCTGACCGATAATGTTTTTTTTTTTTGTACCTGACAAAATATGCAGTTTTCTGTCTATGCTAAGATTTTAGCTATGTCAGCCATGTCGGTTGTCAGGCCGGGTCATCGGAGATATTAACTAAATACCACAATGATAACTTTGATAAATATTTTCAAACCAACTCTTCAACGTAGGCGCAGTAATGATCAAAGTCATTATACATATACATAACTCTGCATAATGTCTAAATGACCTTTTGTCATTTATACATTCGTTATACAAGAGTCGTATTCGCACGAAGCTTTGTTTACTTCCTCTTTCAAAACATCAAAGAAATATCAATTTTTATGATTTCAAGTCTAAACCTCCTGATTACAGCTGTGCGAGTTGCTCATTCAAATACAATCCATCTTACCATGTTATTAGTAGTGACCTCAAATTGGTCAGTGACACTTCGCGCCGAAATGTGTTATCCAAAGGACTGACATATCGTTAACCGCAATCCATCATTTGGAAGAACAGCTTCAAAATACTTATGAATTCAGACGCTGATTAAGTCAGGCAGTGAGCTAAATGACAAAAAGAGGAAGTAAATACTCTTGCCGTTTGGTTTAAGACTGCGAGTTCATTGATACAAATCAGAAGTAAAAAGAATAAATAAGTATCTGGAAACACATGTTAATCGGTAGTTAAAGATATGATTGTTGCTGAGCACTTGCCTCATCTGCATGCAAAATATGTTGTTGCCCCTGCAGATAAAGCCTTAAACAACACTGTTTTTGAGTGAATAAATCTGTTGTAGTGACAATTTTAATTTCAATGAAAGTAATCAATGTATAACTGGCAAATTATTTAGGAAGGGATTTCGTTACCACAAATTACCTCAAACCTTTGCTTAATTCTCCTTAGATACAAATATTTGGTTTGGAAGTTCTGCTGTACCTGTAGACAACTTATTTCAAACGGGATGCACATGCTATTTTTTATGGAGACGTGTTTACCGAGTCCGGAAGTTTAGTTACGATCTGGGATGACTTATCTATCCTTTAAATGAACTTATTCTAAAAGGTTACTAATTCAACACTGTATTTAGAGCTTTTAATGTTGTTTTATTGATAAAGACTTTTAATGGTATTTTATCGATAAAGATATTGATTCTGTTATATACCTATGCACATTCCTGGCTATATATTCTGTCGATCCTATATCTTGAGATTGCACAAGATCACGTCTTTCTTTGACTGTTTATGACGTCTGTACACTAAATCCATCGGATATGGCATGTAAATTGATTGATAATTTAGCCTTAGATGCATGAGTTTTAAAGTGCAAGAGAATAATTTTGATCTACAACTAGTTAGATGCTGTTTTACTGCAATTATGCATCTTATCAGAATGTTTGCAGATCATTTTGTACCTAAATCAACAAGAATGAACATGGTGTCATGCTAAACACATCCACCACTTGGGAGTTCAAAGTATTGGGAAACAAAAATTACTGGTCAACATTTTTTTTAAATCACATATTATCGTTGTCAAGACTACATTATGAAGTCATGCTGCTCAGTAGTTTATAATCGAAATGTGACAAAAATATCTATTTTCACTCTACATGTTCAATTAAAAAGCAAATACAAGCATTGACAAACAGGAAGTAGGTGTCCCACATATATACCAAAGGCACATTCGTTAAAACTCATCATTGTTGACCTGTTTATCAAATATCCGGTAAATCTGTTAAGTAGAACTTGATAAATGTGTGATTAAAATAGAAAGATCCAAAAAAAGGCTCACACGATACAAAGTATCAATGTCAGACTGTTCTTCTCAGTGGTCCCTGGGAGAAATCTAAAGACACTCTTTGTTGGAAAAACGGACGGCCGAATTGACTAACGAACGATCGGACAACGTTATTTCTGTATAGCCCCACTGTAACAGTAGGGATAAATTTAAATACCAATTATATGAATTCATATTGATGTAAGATATTGTTCTAGCCCTTGTAAGTCTAAGAGGTTATATACAAGTAGAGCACAAGATATCTGACAGTTAGACATTACCATATATCACTGCAGAGTAATTTGATTCTGAAATTACCAATATTTATTTGAATTTGTATGAATTGTATTCTACAATTCTGAGAAGTATGAATAATGTCGGACTTTGTATAAACATATTCCTATTATTCTGAATTATCCGTTAGTCAAATTAAACATTATAAATTTGTCTTAACAGATTCTTAACAGATTCTTAACATTCATAATTTGTCTAAATACGTTTTAAAAGAGGGACAAAAGATACCAAAGGAACATTCAAAGTCATACAGTCAAAAATAAACTGACAGAGCCATGTCATAATAGAAAAAGACCTGAAGACAAACATCACCATACAAATCATAAAATTGAAAATTTAAGACTGAGCAACACGAACCCCACCAAATAACGGGTGTCATCTCAGGTGCTCTGGATGGGTTGGTATATCCTGCTCCACATTGGCACCAGTCGTGTGCATACCCTACGGAAAGTCTAAATCGGTAGGGCCTTTTTTGCTTTCCTACATCTCAAAGTCACAGTGAGGCCGTCAACTTGGAGTAAAAACTCACCGCACTACAAGTATAAGACGGCCCCTAGCGGAATTCTTCGCAAACTAACGATCATATCATAATTACTGTGAGTTGAAGAACAAAGCCATGGAGTATTATCAATCAAATAAATTTGTCAAAGAAATAAAACAATGGTTAAATTTACCTTAGGATGAAAAATCAAAGCAAACAAAAGTTTACTTTAATAAAAAACTAGAAATAGTAAGTAAAAATCATAAAAAGTATGAGTTACAAACGGTAACAACAAAAGATATATATAATATACTCATACAATCTAACATAGAAACCCCAATAGGTTTTGCAAAGTGGAAAAATATGTTGCAAGTTGATGATATTTATTTGAAGATAAAACACAAGTTACTGTTCGTATTTAAATACTTAAAAGATAATAAATTGAAAATATTGAGGTGGAAACTGTTACATTGGATATTACCCTGTAAAAAAATATTAGAAACTTGGAAAATAGTTGATACTTCTTTATGTAATATATGCAATGTTAATGAGAATTATGAACATTTCTTTATCACCTGCAAATATTTAAAAAAAAATTGGGAAGGTATTAGATTAATTCTTAATAAACTTAAAATTGAATATCATATCATAAGCTTAGAAAACCTAATACTTGGATATAAAATAACTGATGAAAAGTATTATGAAATTAATTTTTTTTATAACAATAGTATTATTTAGTATAAATAAAGCATACTATTTGTCAAATAGAAAAGAAAAAGAAGTAAATGTGTTCTCTATTTTTAAATATGAATTTCTGTCAAGAGTAAACCACTGCAAAGCAATGAAACAAGAAGTAAGCTTTATGCAACAGCAAATTGCAAGTATTTTAGATAAAACTTGTATAACTGCTTAATACAACTACATGTTCGTGACACTAACGAGCAATAGTTAAAATCTATTATATAGTTATATACTCACAAATTGTATAATTAAATCCCAACAACATGGTTTTGTTATGTATTACTTATATAGGACGATTTATAAATCAATTAAAATATACAGAAAAGCACTGCTATATTTCCGGAAAATTTTAAATTGTAATTTATATTTATGTACTTAGTTCATAGTATTAGTATGAATAGGTAACCCTAGACCTATTATTTATAGTATTTAGGGCTTCTAAAGAGAAAGCTGTATCCTTAGAAGATTTATAAACAGCTTTAATGAAATAAAGTATAATATGTTTAAAAAAAAAAAAAAAAAAAAGAAATAAAACAATCATTGTCCTAAGACTGTTCCATATTTGTAAATTGGTCTTGACATCTAATACACTTGCAAATCCCTGGCAGAATAAATCATACATTTTACCCCAGAATGTGTTCAAAAATTGCATAATATACGAATCTAGATTTAAGACTGTTTAAAAAGTATCTAGACAATATCAGTCTGAATTACTACTTTGTAGTGTATATATGCCAACTGATGAGTTTGCATGACCATTAGAGACTAGGTAAACCAAAACTATGCATACCTGGAATATGTTTCGGATTATGATCTTCAACTGTTTTTTCCCTGAATTCTTTCTTTAGGTTTTCTGAAAAATTTACGTGATATTCATATATATCTCCATTCTCGTGAATTTAACGTGAACATTTTCATGTGAGTTTTACGTATAAGCTCGTTTGAGGTGAATTTTCACATGAATTTCACGTGAGATTCATGTGAAAGTCACTTGAGCAAAATTTGCCTGTGTACCCAATTTGTATGCCTCAAAATGCATACCCTAACGTTTTTATAGTTACATTGGTACATTTTGTAGTGAATCGTGACAAAATTGCAGGGGTCTCCTAATTTACAAAATTAAAGTCGCAATACATAAAACAAAAAAAATAGTTTTTCATGAAGCTAGTCTGTCTTCAATCCTAATTGAAATAACATTCTCTTTGATGTTTTAATATGAAATTCTTTCGATGTGCTTTATTGTTTTCTCTGTTTTGTCTTTTTGTTATGTTTTTTGGTCTATTGATATTTTATATGGAACCGCAAATACATGTATAATGCAACTAGCTGTCCAGATACACTTCTCACATATCACCGGCACCGGTGGAATAAATAACAACAACAAAATAAGTCTCAAAATAATGTCATCATTGTTCACCTTTATTAAAATAGTAATGGTTTGTTGAGATTATTCAAGCTACTTATTTTATTGCCTTCATTTTAAACAGCCAAAACGTATTGCAGGTCATTCAGTTAACTCTAACATACATATGTAATAAGTTGTTCCTAACAGCCCCAGTGGATACCTAGTATTGTGATTTTTTTCTCTTGTTGTATTGTTTAGGTCAATATGTTGGAAATTTGCTGTCTTTTCACATTAATTCTAAAAGCAATTGATCTTAAGAAATATCTTTAATCTTTTTAAGATGTACATTGTAATCCTGAAAAATGTGAAATACTCACTAATTATTTCACCTTGTTCATTAGTTTTCTAAAAAAAAAAGTAGGAGTAATGAGTTCTTACGAGCAGATATAATTCAAAACTTACTATAGTAAAGAATGCATCGAGTCAATCCTTGGTCCAAAGTTAAGTGTACTTACGAAGATTCCTGTGCGGGCTGGAAAACGTTTCGAAAAAGGTCAAAAGATAAAGCAACCAATGATAAATCTTAGTCAAATTACAATATCATAGGACAAGGAAAATCCAATATGTTGACACGATACACATGTCCTGTAGGGATGGACAATCCTGCCATTTTACTTTATGTGTAGATCTTTGATATTCTATATTTTGTTTATTATTTACAATTACTTGTATCTATATATTTTGAAATAGTTGCCAAATATGTAAAAATGCTATACAATAGGTTTTCAAGTGCATGGGGATTTTTGTCACTTTTGGCCAAATTATATATAAACACAAGGAGATGTGGTATAATTTCCCATCAGATCAATATCCACCACTTACGTAAGAACCTTAATTTAAGAAATTAAGGGTCATTGTACATTGTTGTACATTCTTAACAATGATCAATTCCGTACAGTATGATTAGCTATAAAATGCACAAGTAGACAAAATGGGAAATAATGTATACGAGAAAACTAACAGGAAATGTATGTTACCACAACAAATGAAAAAAAATATGACAGACACCAACCAACAACACACACTGAATAATAGGCTCCTGAATTAGGACAACCTCATAATGAATGTAGGTGTTATAACCATGTATGTGAACTCCCCCTTTTTTGTCAAAGTTGTTTAACAAGACAACATAAGAACAAATTGTAAAAACAATAAAATGAATTACAATGTAACATTAATATCGAACAGTAAAAATGATCAAATCTACTCAATTTAATCGTAAACAAAAGTTAGTTGGCTATTGTTTCTTTTGATATAAAGGTTTTCTTCCAAAAATGATATACAGCGCTCATACATGCTTTCGTCATAACAGAAAAACTATGTATAATCCTCTAGAAAGGATTTAAAGGAACTTTCCTACAATTTATATCTTATATTTTAACTTAGAACTAATAGATTTTATAGGACTTGACTAGGATTTTACGTTTTCCGTTAAAAACTGGCCGCTTGAGTTCACATACTCAGTTACAATTTTCATTAAAATGTTCAAGTGCAAGGCTGTAAATCGTCAAACATTATTCATCATGAAGAAAACATAAAAACGACTTGTAAATTATCATTATACACTAATGTGAAGAAAAAAATATATATATATCAATATCAGCAATCATAACCATAATGAAATGATAGTTTTACCTATGTTCACCAGAATGATGAACATAGGTGAGACTATATGCCTTAGCTACCATTATGGGAGCATACACAGTTAATTTGCAGATATTAGCGAATATAACTTAACAGAGAGATATCTATTGAGCAACAAAACATTAACCCGACCAAACCAAAGGATTGAACTTTGGTGATCTTTATTTGCAATTCTTTTGTGGCTCTTATACTAACATATTTTGCCTTTTAAATCCGTACTTATTACTTGGTAATACGTCCTCCATTTACATGATTTATTATTGATTGTAACTCATAAAAAAACATTTATACCAAAAAATGAAGAGAAAAAAAAACATATGCATCATGTAGGTAAAATTCTGAAGCGTTTTGAAGTTTTATAATTATATTATGGTTACATATTTTATTATGTGTTACGTACACTTTCTAAATTTCTAATTCGTTGCTGAAAACCACTTTCTAAGTCTTTTAATTCTTTCTGCACAATATGAAACTGATTATCTGTTTCAGCCAAACGATTCTGTACATATTCACTGAGAACATGTGTGTGTTGACGTATTTCATCTACTATCTCTAAACCAAGTGTTTTTTTCATGAATTTCAGACCTGTACAAAAAAAAATATATATATTTATCATATAATTAGTAATAAATACAGACATTTTGTATAACTTATAAAAGTTCCTTTCCACCAGTCTCCCTTTCGGAATATCTCGAGACTGTTTTCTCCTCATGTGTTATCCGCTAGAAATTTCAGAAGATGACAATGTCGGACATGTTAACCCTCTTGCCACCGGAGGGACACATGTGCCAATATATATATAATTTATGCAAGCATTTGTTCAATCCACATCTCTTTCTAATAAAACAACGAAGAATATAGAGTAAAATCTTTTTCTTCCTGAATAGGTCTCCAATGTAACGTCATCAGGGATCGAATGACGTCAAAGTTGGACATGCGAAGTCCAGTTGCTGTATTTTGTGGCAAGATATGAATGTTACCACATGTAATTAGCGACAAAAAGAGGTTTCATCCTCAGTCTGCGCACAGTGAAAATGGAGGGAAAATAGAATAAGCTACTTCAGCCATGCCATTCAATTTGTTAATATCGGACTTCGTTTTTCTGATTGTGTTTGTATGATTTAAAACACAGACTGATCATCTCAGAATGAGAAACACTGGGTTTTCCCCTCTTTATTTCTCTGTCTGTGGACAGCACTAAATGAAGCTTAGAAGAAGCACATATGAAAGTTAAAATGACGTAATGAGAACTAATAATGTTTAATACATTTAGTTTTACTTGTTAACATTGGCATTTTATTGGTGGACCATACATACTGGAATATTCTTTTAGGATAATCCGTATCACACAATGTATCACCCTCGACCAATATAAGCCCTCGGACATTTGACCATCTGGCTGGTATTGGTTATAACTAAATTAGTTTGTGCTGTGACGAAAGACGGCATGACATATATTGTGTTGTAACTTTTTGTGATTAAGTCATTGAAATATATGTTGTGTTTTCAGCGGTATGGATCACAGCAGTGTCTTATGTGTTGTATGTGATATGTTGTGCTGTTCAGGATTGATATTGTGTATTATCACAACGAGGATAATTATGACGTTGTGATTGGTTTAACGCTGTCACGTGGTGACCCCCTTTGGATCCGTAGGGGGTTAGTAAATTTCATATGGATTCATGACGTCACGTCTATTGTTCATGGTGACGTTATCTATTGATGTTGTTATATTTCATTATTTATTTTTCTACTTAAAAAGACCCCCGTGTGATAAATTCGTGGCCTTCGGCCTCACCCCTTATGGATTTTACTAACCCTCTATTGATCCGTATGGTGTCAGTAGTGAACCAGATAACTTATAATATGCAATGGAGATTACGACAACATGTTTTGTGTCATCTGTAAATTTGGTCGCTCTAATATATATTTTGTGTCAATTCGCTCAAAACAAAACATTGAAAGCCAGGAATGTGTAAATACGTTCTATCATCATGTTATATATTACAAGAAAGACATAAACAGAATAACCATTTCATCTTAGGTCATCTTTGTCTGATGAAATTTAATTGATGAATAGGGAATTAAGTTATGTTATTTATGTTATGAGTACCGTAACAATAACTACTGAGCTAATGGTGTCATCGGGGACTAACAGTCCACGCGCAGCGGTATCGACTCACAGAGTCTTTCCAATTTACATGAAAGTCAATGAAAGTATGAATAATGCCTGAAATACTTTTGTCCTTAAGCAGACTCTTAATGTTAACTGCAAAAACTCTAAGTTCGTTTTATCAAAAAAAAAAAAAAATGACACCATCGCACGGAATGTAATATCGCTTTTTCTCGCTTCCGACATAAACGCTATAGGCCTTGATCAAACATGAATGTAGCATGTAATACATTTTTATCATTAGGTACCATTTGTTGACCACGTTTTTAGTTCTCCCAAGATCCTGTTCCTTTCACTGTCACTCAGATCAAGTTCCTTTACAAGTTGTCCCATTAATACGAATGAATTTGTATATTTTACTCTGGTCCATTCTCCGAATTTACAATGTGCCCAGGGGTTACGTATGTTTTCTCGTATCTAAACAATTAGAAAAAGAGCAATAGTTTATCAATTCAATACATGCTGTTTAAAAAATTAAAGGCGAAGGTATTATATAGGGCTACATTAACATTAAAATCAAATACATTTCAAAATTATATCAATTAGTAAAACTATATATACATATTTTCATAAGTCAATAACATATTGCTTTTTTATAAATACAAATATTTTATTCTATGGGCTATATGGTTATGCTCCTTGAATCGTTATCAGATACATGAAGTATAAAAAGTACTCATGCAATTGCCAATCTATTAAACTATCTTGGACATGTATACCTTTTCAGCTACGGCCTTTACACCTGGGGGAAAGGAACTGATCCCAATGATCATACCAAGCAGTGCAGATGAGTCACATGACTCATCAATTCCAGAGTAATTAGCCATATTAGGCAGTAGGAACAACTTTGACAAATCAACATGGCTTGTTACATTGTAATCATATTTCCAGTAGTTCCTTTTCTCATTCCTGTTGTTGTTGATTGATTCATAATTAAGATAATATGTATTTGTTGCTGGGTATTTTTTAAGATATTTATTATTTCCCTGTTTATCGATAGAGTCGCTGGATTTCAGTGAATTATACAAGTTGCTAACAATAGGATCAATATATCTTCTCAGCAAAGGAGATATAATTGAATGAAGACAGATCCCTACAATCAGCCATCGTTTTTTCTCCTCGTCTAAATCCCACAGTTGACCTACAATAAAATCAATGTCAGACAGGTTGGTTACACAAAATCGACGAAATTGTATTCAATAAATTATTTCGCCTTATATTTTTAACAATCGCCCTTGTCCATGTAACTTGTATTTTTTAAGAAAGGATGTGAAGTTTTTATTTTCAAGGGAGAGTCAAACTAACAAAGCTGTATGTGCCGCTTCTCTGCTAAGCACATGTCCTTTATGGTAATAAGAGCTAGACTGGTCTGCTTAGAGTCAGAAAATGTGTCATGATAATTTGCTTTTTCTTCCATCGGACGTTTACCTTAAGAACAATACGATAAAACTTCATCTTAGCTTGATGATCTTGAACTCAGCAGAGTTCATTCTCCAATCATATTCAATATGGTTTGACATGCTCTTGTCCTTATATGCATGTCATATTGCGACTCAGTGATAAACCCAAATCTATTATCATCCTCCTTTAACATTCCAGTGTTAAAGTTAGTTTACATTTGTTTAATCTGTCCCTCTTAAAAGCTAAGAAACAACAGAAAGACAAAGGATTGAAATTGTCCTTTATTAAAATAACAAAATATGAACGAATAACACAAAAAACAAGTACTAGAAACAACATTTTGTAAAGTATAAGGTGAGATTATTCAAACATTGAACTCAAAAAAGTCAATTCAAATCAGTTATAAGTTAAACCATGCACACTTCTACTACCATGTTTTTCGGACTAATAAAACCAACTCGATGCTTTCGTGATTGTGTTCCTCCCTTGTGTGTTGGGGTAGTGGTTTAGTTCTCAAGCTAGGTAAAACCAAAAAATTAAAATGAGTATTTGCTGCTTCTTTTCTTGCGGTACTGTCGAGTAAAAGCAGACTGATCAGATTTTGTATAGCAAGGCAACTTGTCTATCTATAGATTGTTTACTTGTTAACTAACAATTTAAATATCCAGCTGTGTAAGTGGTTCTGATAAATAGCATATTTTTATCAGATTAACTTGTTCTCGTGCTAGAATGCATGCAAATATTTGCAATCCTAATCACTCATCATAAGACTTCTTATGAAGATATAGGTATTGCAGTTTTCTAATCATGAGAGTACATATGTAATTCAAAATAAGTTGTGTACCTGTAATTCTTTGTACTTTATTCTGATCATCTTGTTTCTGTAAATCAGGTGGTATTGGCCTTTTGAATGGATTAAGTGATGTTTGCTCGGCCATTCTCTTATGTTTTTTATCTAGCCTACACCTTTGTTTTGTTACAACAAATCTTTGATCGAGCTATTCTTTTTCTTTACAACATTAAACAAGAACTGCAAAAACAATAATAGAAAATGTATTCAGAAAATTATCATATTACAAATATTTGGTAAACATATATGTTTTGTTTGTTTTTTTCGCGGTGCACGCCATCTTTAGCTGTCAAGACAACCATATTGTACTGGTAGTGGAAACCATAGTACCCGGTGAGAACCTTCTATCATAAAATGAGGCCGTGTCCTATTTTTATAATATGGAGCAACTTTTAAAATACAGGTCTATTCATGTTTTTCAATCTCTATTTTTTTGCTATTATGTTAGTTTAGCAAAATTGTTGAGTGTCCCTTGGTATCTTCTTCCTTTTTTTGCAAATATTTTTTTTTTAATATAGTTTACCATATAATGTACTGTTTGTACGTTTCATGTATTTGGCAAAACCTTTCGGAATTTGTGGTTCTGAATGCTTCATTTTTCCTTTTATATTTTTTTATACAAGCGTCACCGATGAGTCTTTCGCAAACCAAACATGCGTCTGGCGTACAAAATGTTAAATCTGGCATCTATAATGAGTTTGTTTTTTACCTGTGGAATAGAGAGACTGAGAAACAGACTGAATTAAAACTTAACACTGATCAGTAAAACATAAAACTGAGGTCAATGCCAGATCAACCATTTCAGACAGACATGTTTATGTTTCAATCAATCTATAAATCTTTTCTTGGTGGTCACATGGTACTGTGGTAAGTCATTATAACGTTTTAAATTAAAATGTAATTAATTTCTACAGACTATTTAGTTTATCGGTCTCGTACATTGGCGGGATCATTTTCATAACACTATAAGCTACACTTGTAACATTTTACACTGGTAATTCAACAGCCATTTATTTATCTTTATATTCTTATGACTTGTACAACTATGTTTTGAAATCAGAGGCCGTTGATAATAGCACCTATTGGGCATCATACGGCTTCATCAATGGGCAAAACCCAAACCGTAAAATCAGTTATAAAGGGTCTTAGCTTGACAAAATAAGGAACTATTAAAACCGGAAAACCAACGTCTTGTTATATTATAAAACAAAACGAAATACTAACATGGTAATAGAAGATTTGCAAGCTCTTGACTTGCACTAGTGTATGAATTTTAAGATCTACACAGTCTATGTTCATACTTTACAGTACTTGTTATTTACCTGTACACATCAACATCATACTGAATTGTTTGAAAAGTGCTGAATTTGACGCAGTGAATAAATCTGAAAATTGACTCAAAATTGACTGAAAGTTGTAAAATGACTAACTTACTTATTGTCTCGACTTTTTAGATAATGTTCAGATCGAAATGTCCGTTTAGGACTAAAATTCATTCACTAGGCCAGTCAGCTGCCTGCAAATCTTATGTTTGGCGTGTTTGTTTTTCGTTTTCTATAAATTTGTATAGTTTTTGCTTCAAACGGCATTGGCCACATTCAAGGTCCATCATGTTCTTTTTTTTGTTGGATGTGTATCTGATCCATATACATCTTTGTATAACAAATGTATTTTGATCTTAGGAAGTGGCCAATTTTTTGGAGATTTAAATTGCCCCCACAATTGTTTTAAAATACGCAAAAAATCCTGTGAAATTTGAAGCTGTCAAGATGGCAAAAATGAATAGCAGACATGACAGGGTATAAGTTATCTGTTAATAAGTGCATCTTAAAGGTCTTAATCATATGTCTATATATGATATTACATAGTTCAACTTTCCGCGCCAAATAATGAATGCCTAGCCCTACGACTTACTAATGTGTGTTTTGTGTATTGTGGTTTATAGTGTTTACGTTTCTTTTTTCTGGATATATTAAAACGGTTTTATGGTTGGCTTTATGCTTTAATTGTTATAGTCTATTGCCTAGTTTTTATAATGCTTTATTTGTTATAAATGATTGTCTTGTTTTTCTCAATGCTTTAATTGTTATAGTAGATTGCCTAGTTTTTATAATGCTTTATTTCTTATAGTCGATTGTTCTGTTTTCATAATGGTTTAGTTGCTATAGTCGATTGTCCTGTTTTCTCAAAGCTTTAATTGTTATAAAATTGAGAATGGAAATGGGGAATGTGTCAAAGAGACAACAACCCGATCAAAGATCAGAAAACAGCCGAAGGCCACCGATGCTTTAATTGCTATAGTCGATTGTCCTGTTCATACCATGCTTTATTTGTTATGGACGATTGTTCTGTTTAATAATGCATTAACTGTTATAGTCGATTGTCCTGTTTATATCTGTTGGTTATAACATATTATAAGTTTATTTAATGATTTGCTGGTTAGGGTCTTTATATAATTTCATTCACTTCTATGTGATATGTTCCTCTTAATAGTGCTATAAACTATACAAAGAGGATTGACCAATTAAAATTTCAAATATTAAAGATTATTGGTGATCTTGTAAATCGTTTAAACAAACTATAATACCGTGCATGTATATAAATACTTATTGTATTTGAATGATAGAGATCTTTTGAAATTAGAACAAAGCTTTGATCGATATGATCTTTTTATAAATTTAAAAGGTACGTGTTAAGTTAAATCATTATGACATTTAAACAAATATATCTACCTCATGCAAAGCTCTGACTCTTTACTCGGCTTTGGTTATACTTTTAGTTCTTTTTATTTTATCAGCTTTTTCCTTTTTTGATAACTTGTGGATTTTTAGATATTTTAGTCTCGAACCTTACAGAAGAGAATTTAATGTCGGAAGTGCATCTGGTGCCGTAAAATTGGCAACGTTAGTTTTCTTGCATCTATTTTCTAAAGAAAAGAAGTAGGCTATGAACGCATCTGTCGTTATAAAAATGATTTTGTAGTTTTGATTGGAATAAAAGAATTTATTTCCAAAATTAAGTATACAGTTATTTAAATAAATTTATTAAAATGTAAATAAACGGAAATATAGATAAGGTTGTGTGTATTGATTTACGACAGTCGAACAGTTTAACCTACTAATAATCATAATACAATACCGGACCCTCGATATGAACCGTTAGTACTACAGATATATTTACTGGATTATCAAAATAAATCATTACAAATATACCTACTAGATCATCAACATTATTATTCGTAGTTAAGCATGAAAAAAGAACTTTCTAAACATGCTAAACGTTCCACTTAGATAATTGTTTTAAGCATGAAAGACATACGTATAGGATTTTTACCATTAATTATCGCCGTTTACATGAGTGAAAACTTATTTATTTACATATTAACATGTTAAATAATATTAATTCCTTTTATCCCTGATATACAATAATTACATGACACAAATAATAACTGCGTGCTGTATTTAAAAAAGTAAACGTAACCGAAAAAAATTCAAGAATGTTAAAAACAAGAATTACTTTAATCTCTAAAGAAAATATTTCTTCTTAAATGTAAAGAAAAAAAAACATTTAAATCGATGTCACCGGAATTATTGGACCGGTGTGCTTTTTGTTGAATTTGTTGAGATAGAATATTAACTGTCTAACCATTTTAAACAACAGTAGGTCGCTATGTTACATACCTTAAAATAGAATTTACAACAGACTTTATTGAGAAAATACGACATTCAACTTTTGACATTCCGCGGTCAGTTGATAGGACGACTTTGATACCTTTAAAACAGATGACATATTACATATTTTAATTTCCAAAGTGACGCCTTTGATTGGAGCTTTATGTCTAAACAGCCTGACGTTTAAAATTGAAATATTAACACATGAGTCGAAACAAATCAAGCAGACGGATACTTAATATTTAGATCACTTCGAATGTGTTGTTTGACGACACTTTTCCATTTAATTAGAGTTTGGGGTTCTGAATATTTTTTCGAGAGGTAGTTTGTAAGACATATACGAATGTTTGTGTAATATTTCTCTTCTTTACGTTTGTTTTTTTAAAGTTATTGTTTTTTTATACGTAAGATAATATTGATTGCTTCTCTGTTTTACGTCGAGTGTCAAAATATTTCATTAATATTAGGGACAAAACAAATTATCAATTAAAAGCCTATTACAAATTATTTTGTAAAAGGTCTTTCCACATTAAATTTCTAAATAATTGATAAGAAGCTACCTGCAGTTTACTGATAGTTACTATTGGTGTCAAATCATAGGTTCCTTCATACTGATTCAAAAAATATATGGTTTCCATATACTTTTGTCTGAAATAAAGGAGACAATTCGATACCTCCGGATACCTCCGGTTTAAAAATGGCACGTCCGGTCTCATATGATAGCTATAGTCACATCGAATCCAAAAATATATGGTTTCTATATAATTTTACTTGAAATAAGGGAAATAAATTGCAACTTCCGGTTTAAAAAAAATTCACTTCTGTTACCATCTGGTTACTTCACACTGATTATTACAAAATGGTTCTAGGTAATTTTAAATGAAATCAGTGCAGGAAATGGCTACTTCCGATTTAAACAAGGTTAATTCCCACTAACCTTTTTAAGGTCATATATCTACCAAACTTATGCAGAAGACTCGATAGCTATATCATGTTTAAATATGAATTTATTGCAAAGGTCAACATCTAGAACGTCAAATTTACCTTTGACCTTGAACTTTATTTCAAGGTCATAAGGTAGGACCTCAAATCAAAAGACCCTAGGTCCCTTCTATATATGGTTATATCACCATACTGCTAATTTTAAATATAAGAGAGGAGAAAACTCCTATTAAATGTCAACGTATCCTTTCAACCAAAATGTATGTGCGTCGACATGTCGCAACTAATTAATTTTGTAAAAATCTTGTCGATATTTAATACGGTTTCTCAAGAAAAGCCATAATAAGCCAAAATAAAAATTTAGAACATGACCGTGGCCTTTGACCTTGACCTCTTTTTTATTTTGGTGGACCAAGGACCTCAAATCAAAAGACCCTAGGTTCCTAGCACTTATGGTTTATCAGTTTCTATTACATTTCACTTATATCAAATAAAGAAGGGGAAATAACTCTCAAATGGAGTTTTCGGATCGCTTCGGTCAAACATTATTTCGACAACCTGAGGATATAACGAGTAATCTGGAAAAATAAATTTGTTGGTTTCTTTTACGGTTGCGAAGGAGTAGTGATCACAATAAAAACAGTGTTTGGGGAGATAACTCCTACAAAAAAAAGTGTCCGGTTAAACGGTGTCAGTTTAAAAAGCGTATTAACTGTTCGATGTCATATACCAAATATCTCAGCGACATCTTGCGTAATAAATTCTTCTCGCAAGAAATAAAAGTGGCGGAAGAAAAAAAAATGATAATAATCAGAACAAAATCAACATGTTTTTCCATGGAAAAGTTGAACGATCTAATTAAGCAAAACAAACTGGTTCTGCAAAGTGGGTAAACGTAGACTGCTGCATAAAAACTGTATGTTGCAAAGGGACATATATTTTCCATGCAGCAGACATATTGCTAGTCAATCAAATATTAATGCTTTCAAAGAAGTTTTTAAAAAAATAAATCAACCAGGTCCACATGAAGTGTGTCAAACCCTTTCTGGCTTTGAGTGACTGACTGTTATGTTATATATTTTTACAACAAATAACAAAGTCAAATGCACTGAAATCAAAGCTTTATTTAATTCAGTTTCTGGTCAAATGAAGAAAGATCATTTACTATTTATAAATCATGTCGCCTGTTTTGTCTACACATGACTCATCAGTATAACTGTAAAAGACAAAATCAAGGACAACAGTGACATGCATAAACACATGATATGATCTCTGACCGTAAATACAAATTATTTTGTAACTGGAACATCATTCTAGCAAAATAGAAATTTTTGTTTAATATGATTAAATTTTGAGCAAATTAATGCAAAATAAACTTTGAAAATATTATGTTAAACGTTGGACATAGTTTCCGTGTGAATAATAGACAAAACATATAATTTTGACTGTGAGATCTTCAACGATGATCATTCGAGCGAGTAGTTGACCTATACCAATTATTCAAACTGACCTGCTAATGATTGAAACGAAATATGATCAATGTTTGCCAAACAAATCATTGTTTGTCAAGTGTAAATGAAAAATGGCCTACATTTTTTCGGCATGTTTCGTTCGTATAAAAATAGTAAAACATTCATGTGTCCTTTGTCGTATAAAAAAAAAGAAAAAGAAACATTTATGGACGTACACGGAAACTATTCAGTTAGTGAGTTAGTGTCTAAAAAGACAATTAGGCAGGAAGAAAACGTCATTAAGCTTGATATTGATTTAAATGTATTGTACAGTTTTCAAATAATAGATAGCTAGGTGACAAGTTGACAGTTTAGATTGTGCACTCCTACTGTATTATAATTTGTAGTTTTACTGATTTTGAATTTATATTCTTTGGTGGGTGCTTGTTCGAATATGGCAAATAATGTTTAAAATATACGTGAATTTCAATTTTTCGTGCTATTTTATGTTACATTTTCGACGATCTAAACGAGCACAGCAAATAATTCCACATGGTCAAACATAGTATGACAACTGCTTTTAAAGTAATTGTATGCCTTATTATAGAATGCAATTATTTATAGATATCAATGATGCAATAAAAAGTAAAATACAAAAAATACCGAACTCTAAAGAAAATGCAGAAAGAAACGGAATGTCCATTAAAATGTCAAAATCAAAAGCTCAGACACATCAAACGAATGGAACTGTCATATTATTGACTTTGTGCTGGCATTTCCTTACCATAATAATCAATAATATGAAATGTTATTGCTTGCATATGACGGTTTCTAACATGTCTAACTTAATAGAATCCCAGTTAAATAAAGTATCTAACGCTTACATAATAATGCCAGAGAGAGAAAGAGAGAGAGAGAGAGAGCATTGCAAGGTAAACGAAAATAAACGGACAGAAAAAAAACCAAGACGGAACGAGTGAACTACAGCATAAGTCAAAAACATACAGCTGCACAAATATACCTACAGTTAATATTTTATATTGAAACCAAAGCAACATCATATGGAGTATATATTTTCCAGTTGATACGATATTCCAGAGATTGTATTTCCTATCTTGCATTTCTGTATGCAGAGCTGCTGCTTATAAGAAAGCTATTTTACCAAGCGTGCAAAGTTGATCATTATGGAATATATGTTTCTCAGATGACGACGGATATATTCGAATTTCCGTAACCAAAATCCCCTTATTTTTTCCTCGAATTTGATCTACCGAATTAGACTTATAAACAGTTCCTTGCATGACAAACATAACAAGTACCACGTGTGATCAGAAATCTGCTTACCTTTCCAAAGCGTATGAGGTCAATCCCAGTTTTGGTTGGGTTCGTGTTGGTCATTTTTTTAACTTTATATGTTGTGTTTAAGTAAATTGTTTTTTTCGTGTTTATGTCAAGTCATTTTCAGTTCATTTTCGATTCATGACTTTGACTATCCCTTTGGTATCTTCAGCTTCTTATGAAATATAATTAGATTATCAAATACGTCAACGATAACATACTGGACGATGGTCATGAACTAGCTTGTAATGAATGCTAAATCATATTTCATCCTATAGTGTTTACAAATAAAAATCAAGTTAATTTAATTATCAAAGTTTGAAATAATCCATACATGATGGTGTTTAATATATTGGTATAGAATATACATAAGAGAGTCAAAATATTAACGTTGAACGTCGAAATTAAGGTAGTTTTATGCTAGAAGAACTTACCGATGTGCATACAATTTATTCTCTTCAGGAATGAATTTCTCAGGATATTGTTTAAAGAAAAAACTGATCTTCTCGATGACACGTTTAAATTTACAATATTATCTTATCACAAGAATGGATACACTTCAGTAAATCTTAATAGCTCAACATTTAAAGTAGTTGTTACAATGTAAACGATACGTTATATATCTATATTAATGCTTTTACGTAGATTAATATAGATTATAATTCTGCATCGAATATGAGTATGATACAATATCTCTAAAGACGGTTTAATTTATAAAATATTTCACTCTAGAGAAGAGAGATATATCATTTTCACTAGATTCGTTTGGAGAATCTGCTTCTCGAATAATTAAAGACAATACATCTATACTATTAAATTTGGAGACCAAAATGTTTTAGCCGGTTTGTGTCCGAGCCGACGATCGTCTGAAGTATTATATAATAATAAATAGTTAGCGTATGTAATGTACTTTATAACTTCATATAGTAATTGCATTAATTAGCGTAGCTTAATTAATTAAATCCCAAATAAAGTTTCGTAGCTGGTTCCTTACCGTCTACGTTTTTGTAAGCAGGTGGAAATGATTTTGTAAGTAATTTGTCTTGAATTTATGACAACTCGGCCCATGGCCAACTCGCCCCACTCAAACACTCTCACTAATTATTACAACTTGCATCACTTTATCAAACTCGCACTACTCAAAAAAAAAAAAAAAAAAAGAAATATAACAAACTCATTCACATGTGTTTAATCATCAAATTATTTTCTTCTTTTCTAAGTAAATTCCTCCTTTCTCGGAGCACTCGTGTCACACAGAGACAGAACACGCACCACTCAAAAAAAAATACTACAAACTTGCACCACTGAATAAATGTTTTAAATCATCAGAGAGTTCTAGATTGTCTTCTCTTAGTTATTTCCTCCGTTCTTGGAATACCCGCATCACAAAGAGACAGAACTTGACTTGCACCTTTCGAAAAAAAAATACTACAAACTAGCACCACTGAGAAATGTTTTAATCATCAGTGTTTTAGGTTATCTTTTTCTTCTCTGAGTTATTTCCTCCGTTCTATGAGCAAACATGTAACACCGAGATAGAAGCTACTAATTGGGCATTCAAACTCCTATGGAAGGAGAACTGACAAACTAATCAAAACTATCAACATAATGCATAAGTGCATAAAAATAGTTTGAGAAACACGAACCGAAGCTGTGTATCACCATAAACATTTCAAGTAGTCTTTAACCTGGTTTTATAGCTGGCTACACCTCTCACTTATATGAAAGTCGCATGAAACTCCATTATATTGACAACGATGTGTGAACAAAACAAATAAACAGAATAGGTAAAAATGTCAAAACTAGGGGTACAGCAGTCAACATTGTGTAATAATCTTAATCACTATATAAACAAACAAATATGTCAACAAAGAAACACAAAAAGGCATATTAACAAAGCACATAAGCAAATATGAAAGACAAGAATACAATAATTTACCATAGCACAATAACACAATGACGGGATGTATAAATACCGAGCCACATCAAATGGATATCACCAAAAATAGACTAAACAGTAAAAGTGATATTCACAAAGACAAATAAAAGAATGATATAACACGTTATTAAGATGATAAACATTGTCAGTACCCAAAATCTATACTTCAAGATCATCGTGTATTATTTGTGAAGTTGATACGGAATATTTATCAACAAGGTCTTGGTACCTTCCGATGAACCTTTTTAGCAAAAGGACGAGACGTTCTTTGACATACCCCTGGTTCATCAACGTTCTGCTCAGACACTGGTAACGTTCAAAAAGTCAGAGTAGCAGCTGTAAGCTCTTGAATACCGAATAAATTCGGAAATGTATATCCCATATGCTGCATAATACCTTTTAGTATAACAAATATTAAATAAGAATTATTAATTGTTTTTTTAGTATTTGCCCGATGGCAAATATTTTTTGCATGCTTAGAACGAGAATAAATAAATAAATTATGTTAGATAATTCGACCGGGTTAACGGGTCAACAATTGAAACGCCACTATTCAAACGGACGCCTCAAAAAAGCAGAGACTGGCCTATTTTCAATACCATAGTCAACTCTTCGTGTTGAATGTCAAGTATAAATGTTAGAAAGTAACGATCGATGTACAAATGTTAACACCAATTTGATCAGTATGCTGGAGTTTCTTATTGACAACATATTTGTTGAATTTGGAGGTAGACTTTTTCAACGAATTGTCAGCATTCCTATGGGAACGAACTGTGCGCCTCTCCTTGCCGACCTCTTTTTATTTTCATATGAGTCGGAGTTCCTTCAGACACTTGTCAAAAACAAGAAGATCAAAGAAGCCAGGTCATTTAATTTCACATTCAGATATATTGATGATGTTCTTTCCATTAACAATCCAAACTTTTCTGATTGGGTTCCATTAATATATCCCCCAGAACTATACATTAAAGAAACAACAGTCCCGTTTTCCTCCGCCTCATTTCTAGACTTATACCTCGAATTTGACATACACGGTCATCTCAGTACCAGAATCTATGACAAACGAGACGATTTTAATTTTGAAATTATCAATTCCCCCCACCTTAGAAGCAATATACCAACTTCACCTGCATATGTAATTTACATTTCCCAACTTATTCGGTATTCAATAGCTTGCAGCTGCTATTCAGACTTTGTAAAACGTCACCAGTGTCTGGGCAGAATTTTGATGAACCAGGGGTATGTCAAAGAACGTCTTGTCCTTTTTCTAAAAAAAAGTTCATCGGAAGGTACCAAGACCTTGTTGATAAATATTCCGTATCCACTTCACAAATAATACACGATGGTCTTGAATATAGATTCTTGGTACTGACGTTGTTTATCATCTTCATAACGTGTTATAGTATTCTTTTTTTTTTTCTTTTTGAATATTACTTTTACTGTTTAGTCCTTTGTTGGTGATATCCTTTTGACGTGGCTCGGTACTTATACATCCCGTCATTGTGTTATTGAGCTATGATACATTTTTTTGCCTTTTTGTGCTTCTTTGTTACATATTTGTTTGAAGTTTTTTAAAGGATAAGATTATAACACAATGTTGACTGTTGTACCCCTATTTTGACATTTTTACCTATTATGTCTGTTTGTTTTGTTCACACATCGTTGTCAGTAAAATGGAATTTTATGCTACTGTCATACAAGTGACAGGTTTAGCTAGCTATAAAACCAGGTTTAATCCACCATTTTCTATTTAAGAAAATGCCTGTACCAAGTCAGGAATATGACAGTTGTCATCCATTCGTTTGATGTGTTTTAACTTTTGATTTTGCCATTTGATTAGGGACTTTCCGTTTTGAATTTTCCCCGGTATTTTTGTGATTTTACTTTTTATCATTAAACATAATCAACGAGTTTAGGAGATCTGAGGGAATAGCCGTCCATTATTTATACTTTTGTGGATATCGAGTTTTGAGTCTTCATGCATAGAACATAAAATGTGCATGTAATACAATATTGAAGTAATAAATTTAATTAAAGCGTCTTGTTTATAGATCTAATATCTCAATGTTTCGAGAGAGAGAAAAATGCAAGTACAGTTAAGCTAGCCACTGTGAAATATGTTTAATCTCAGTATGGTGGACGAGGTCAGATTATTAAAAGTCAGTGTAAAGGCAACTGTATATACATGTATCCTCACAAATAACTTACTTAATAAAATGCAACTAAAATGACAACAAGAGTGCACATGTTGAAATATCTAGCCTGCTTTACTTGATTAAATTTAATTTCATACCATACACCCAATTAAGTAGGCATATTGCATATACTCAGATACTTTGAGCCAAAGGTCCAGAGAAATAGACCTGATTGCCAATATTGATCCTTGAATAAATCAATGAACCATGAAAATGAAAATGAGATCAAGGTCTGATGAACCTTATCAGAGAAAAATGTACACCTTACAATCATTCCTTACAACAAATATAGTTGACCAATGGCTTACAATATTTGATAAGTGGACAAAACCATGAAAACATGCCAGACAGACATGTCTACCTAACAATTATTCCATGATATATACCAAATAAAGTGGTCCTATGGCTTATAGTTTCATATATATAGCCCAAACAGGAAAACTTGAAACATTGTCCAATGAAAAAAAAATGTCAAGATCAGATGAAACAGTTGAAACGACATATACACTTTACAATCATTTCATACACCAAATACAGCTAATCATTTGCTTAGACTATCTAAGAAAGAGACCAAACCACAAAAACTCAGCATTAACAAATGAACCATGAAAATCAGATCAAGTTCAAATGAAACCTGTCAGTCGACAATGTACACCTTTCAGTCATTCCACACACAAAATATAGTTGACCTAATATCTTATAGTATCTGAGATACGGACGTGACCACGAAAACTAAAGATTGAACACTGTTTAACTCCAAAAAAAAAAACAAAAAAACAAAGACACTCAGACAGCTTTGCAATCTCATAAGATGTATCAACAGGTAAATCACTCCTTCTTCTCAACCATAATTTCAACATATTTAAGTGCCAATCTGCCTAAGAATCAGGCAGTGGTGAAAACATGACAAACAAAAACCAGCTTAACTTTACATTAATTTAAGTTCAGAATGTATAATGGTGCATGAATATAACAATTGTTTCCTTTCCCTGTTCTGATATTTCAAGATATAATTTGGTTGAAATGCACTAAAAATTAATAATTAAGGGGAGATAACTCCGTAATTTGCTATCATTCTAACCAAAAATTATCTAGATATTTCTCAAATTACCATACACGCAGAAACGAAACCCTACCATTTTTAGCTCAGGATGAAGGAACCTTCAAAATAGGGTGGTTAGGTCGATGGGTTTTTTTCGGCCATGTTTTGAAATTTTTCTAAATTGCCAGATTCTTACAATGACTTAAACACTAAAACTATTTTTTTTAACATGTTTATTTACTTGTTTTGTATTCTCATATTTTTATTTCTTTAACTATTTTTATTTATGTATTTATTATAATTTTTTTAAATATATGTATATATTTTTTTATGTTATCGCATCTAATACTTTGTATGCATGTTTTTAACTTCTCTGTAACCTTTGTACTTGCATGGTTTTATGAGAAT